TCTCTCTCTCTCTCTCTCTCTCTCTCTCTCTCTCTCTCTCTCTCTCTCTCTGTTAGGATTTTCTGTCTGGCTTTATTCTGCTTACCCATTGGCCAAAATAACTTTATCCATCAACCAATAAAGGCAACACATATACAGTAGGACACCTCACATCACTGCAGATATATGGGCCATAAAAGAGAGAATAAATTCTAGTTCCAATGTTTGTTTATTTAATAAAGTGCCATCTCAGATGAGGAAGCATGTGATGTACAGTTGTTTACTCGATTATATTTACCATCATCATCATTATTATGAATCAATTCAAGGTTTCTTGAGACCCTGACACGGGCCTGGTACTAGTTTGGGCGCCAAAGCAGGGCCACCTGTATTAGCGACTTTTCTGTTTCTATGATACAACAGGGTGACAAAGGCAACTTAAAGAAGGAAGGGTTGCTTTGAGTTCTTGGTTCCAGAGGGATGAGTGCTGGCCCATGGTTGGGAGCCACAGCAGCAAGCAGCAGGCATGGTAGCAGAAGTGGGATGCTGAGAGTTCACATCCTTGGTGGAAAGCACAGAACAGAAAACAAGTTCGAAGTGGAGGGAGGATTGCGATCACAAAGCCCACCCGCCGGACACACTTCTCCACCCACCTAAACTTCCTTAAACAGCTCCGCCCACTGGGAGTCCAAGAAACTCTTGGGGATAGTTCATTCACACCAACACAGTATCAAACCTCTATCCCCGTTCTCTCCCTTAAAGCCTATATTTTAATAAGAAGAGATGGAAGATAACAAAATAGCCTGAAATGTAAAATGCATTTAGGCAGTGATAACCGTCGCAAGCACAACAGAACCGGGTGCTGTGATAGAGAAAGGGCGGAAGCTTGAATATGCTGTCGTCAGAAAGGCCTCTAAGGAGCTAGTGGTGGAGGGAAAATGTCAGAATAATGAGAAGACGCTGTGACCAGAGCAGAGAATTCTTGGCAGACACAAGACCAAGTGCAAAGGCTGTGAAACAGGAACAAGTTTGGTCTGTTCCAGGAGCAAACTAACCCTGGGTAATAAGCATACAGGCGGCAGAAAATCTGCAGCCAGAAAGGGACAATCGAGGTTTGTTTGTTTTTCAAGTCAGGGTTTCTCTGTATAACAGCCCTGGCTGTCCTGGAACTCACTTTGCAGACCAGGCTGGCCTTGAACTCACAGAGATCCAACTGCCTCTGTCTCCAAAGTGATAGAATTACAGGCATGTGCCACCACACTGGACGGAGATTTTATCCCACATGTATGGGGCAGGCACTAGAAAGGCTCCTAGCAAAGGAAGCCATTGTAATGGGATCTGAACACTTTATAAAGGTACTGAATGCTGATGTGGAAAATGGGCAGCTCATTCATTACTAGGGCAGAGCAAAGGCAGGGAAACCAATCAGGAGATCACTGTAGCATCCAACCCAGGACTGTGCTGGCCTGTTGTCGTGGGGGAGCAGTGAGATAAGAGTGCAGGACTTGCCAAATCGCTGAGTAAGGGATGAGGGAAAAAATGAACCAAGGGCTGACCAATATTGGGCTCGCCCCTTACTAGACTTAAGGGATGAAGGAAGACAGGATCGTCGCCTTCATATGGAATCAATGCTTTATATTATTCAATAAATATGGCCTATTTAATAGTTGTGAAACTTATAGCTAATAGTTGTGAAGCTTTCTACTATTTATAAATATGATTTATTTAATAGTTGTGAAGCTTAGAAAAATGAAGTTAAGGTTTAAAAATCATGGTTTTTAATGTAAGAAATCCAGATGGGTAGAACTTGATGAATAAATAATATCTGAGGAAAACCTAAAAGAAAACAGATACATATATGGACATAAAATCTTTTATTAAACCCAATTACAAAATAACAAAGAAAATTAATAGATTCAACTACTTAAACTTTGGAACTCTGATATGTCATAAGTGCCACAGACAAGATTAGGATGCAAACAAATCTGGGAAACAAAGCTACAGTGTTCGCAAAGAAGACTCGATAAGCTTCCCATTTAAAGACACACTGCAAAAGTCATGAAGAGGAAGATGAGCAAAGAGTAAACTTTTTAAGTGAAAAATACAAGGTAAATGTAAAGAAAGACGTCACCTTTACTAGTATCTAATTCTGCACGTGTTTACAATGGGTATCAGCTGAGGGTGGTGGCCTATGCCTGTAATCCTAGCACTCAGGGAGTGAGACAAAGAGTTGGAGCGCAGCATGGGCTACCCTGTGAGTCCCTGTCTTTAAAATAAAATAAAATACAAATTTTAAACTTTCAAACTGATAAATGATTGAAGGAAGTGTAATAACTCACAATAGTACATTGCTCTATGGTTATAAAATGCTAAATTAGTCTTTGAATTGAAATTCTTTTAGGGCCTAGAGAAATGGCTCAGCAGTTAAGAGCGCTTGCTTGCTCTAGCAGAGAACCCAGGTTCTGTTCCCAGCACCCACATGGTGACTGACTAGTGTCTGTAACTCTAGTTTCAGGGGAGCCAATGGCCTTTTCTAGCCTCAGCAGGCACTGAAGGCAGATGGTGTACACACACACAGAGAAAAAACACCCACCCGCAGAATACAAAAGTAAAATAAATTTTTAAAGAGTTTAAAGGACACTCTCCTTTTATCTTGACACTTCCCTCCGGAGGTTGGAATCCCAGTTAGGTGCAATTATACAGAAACATCCGCCGTATTGTTGTTAGTAGTAGAACTTTCCCGCAGTAAGGAACTGGTTAAATAGATAATGGTCTATGCATATGGTATATTACAGTACACTGTAAGAAGAAAAGAATAGCCCGACTTGACATATGGTAAGTTGTTCACAGTATCTTTTATGGGATAAAACGAGGTCATAAAGCAGCAAACGATGCAGCCACTTTTCATACGTTCATAGCGCAAACATGTCAGTCAAGGCATTCAGCCTGTTGCTTACAATAATTTTATTTCAGAGATAAATTTGTGAATAGTTTTCCTTCTCATTTCTGTGTTTTCCAGAATTTTCACACTGTGCATGTTATACGGTTTTACATTACGAAGAAAAACTATACATCTACACCAGGATAAAGGACTCAGGACAAAGAGGAGTCCGGCTGGGAGGCAGCAGAGAATGGCAGAAACTCAATGGTGCCCTGACGCTGGAAATAAACAGGCGCTCCCTTTGAGCACAGGTGACTGGGCGGGGCCGGGATCTGAGGAGACATTCTAGAAGCAGGAGATGTAAACACTGCAGGTCCTGTTCCTTATCATACAAAGGTCATTCCACACTAGTAACCACACTCCAGCCCAAGAAATATGGGGCCCAGCCTCACAAGAACTTACACTTGGGCTGGGTCCAGGACTCCTTTCGACCAAGGCTCGGTAAATCTCAAAGCCCCTGGTCTTTTGGTCTTTTTCATTCGCCAAAGGCTTCCTCCACTCTCTGGCTTTTTCTGCTTGAGAAGACACCATAGAGACATCACATGAGCACTGTGCCTCTGGTGGCGCCAGTGGTTGTTCTGTTCATTCAGCACCCCGGCAGAGGACACCACCTGGCAACTTCTCATCGTTCTTTTGAAAAATCATTAGGTCCCTTTATGTAAGCTCAGAAACTTAACACTTGAAAAACAATCTTTATTTTTCAAAATTACCAATCATTTTCTTACATACAAACAGAAAAGTACAAATAATACCGTCTATTAAATGTGTGTACATGTATGTGAATAAAAACTATTTTCACAGCGTGTCTCATCTGCTAGTCTTTTGGGTTCTTTTTGAGACTGAAGGTACTGAGAAAAGTAAAGTTGCCACACCCAATTCAGTAGATGAAATCCTGGCTAGCAGAAGCTTCTGTGGGGCTTATAATATAATAATAATAATAATAATAATAATAATAATAATAACAATAGGCGGTTCCAAGACCCACTAAGTCAGGTGGTCTGGCCAGGCAGTTACACTGGTGTTGCAAGCTGCCTGGGAGGCTCCCGCGTACCCTAAGGGTGTGAGAAAAGGAAAATGCCTTGGATGCAACGGTGCTGGCAAGGAATAGGGGAAGCCAAGACCAAGGAAAAGAAAATGAAGAAATCTCGAACTGAAGAGCCAATTAACTCTTCAAAAACCAAAACGCAGAGTGAGTCCTAGCTGCTGTCGTTTATCTGCGGCACAGGTGGCTGCCGAAGATCATGCGACCTGCCGCTCCTGACAAAGGTCCCCAACGTCAGCAGGACGGTGACCGAGAGCTGCGTACCTGCGGGCGCCTTGGAAGCGGCAGTAAACACTCCCAACATGCACTGAGACGCTGGGCGTGGCTCAGGTTGCTCACACCCCCCTGCGATGGGCATGCTAGTAATAATTAACTGCGGCTGGGGCTGGCCAACTGTGCCGGGAGCAGCCCCGTGGGGCCAGCCATGCGCCCTCCGCTCCGCCGTCTTCAGCCCCAGAGCAGGTGAGTGACAAGGACGCCGGGACACCCGCAGGCAGCTCCGCCTCCCCACGACAGCCAGGGACACTCGCCTACCTCAGGCTCCGTGCAGCGAGATCACAGGAGTCTCCTCTGCCCGGCGTGATTTTTGCAGGTGAACTTGGAGGTGGGCGGGAAGTTGAGAGCGGGGTCCTTAGTGGAATCCATAGCCAGAAAGGGCAAATGGGTACGTGCATCAGCGCAACCCCTACCCTGGTGTGAGTTGGCCTTAAATCAAAATTTTCTCAGAATACTCTTTTCCTGGACAAGGTAAGCTTGTGAGGAGGGTGGGGAAGAGAGGAGGGGAAGACGGTTTGGAGCTGAGAGGCCACCCTGTCCTCCCTTTTCCCAAAGAACCAGCTCATTGACTTTACCTGAGCTGCAGAAGTCCCCTACCCCTGCAAATTTCTAGACTCCTGGTGACACCCCTTGCCTCCGCATTTCAAGTGGGTATTGAATGACCCACTTGAAGGGGTCACTGACCCCTTGTGGTCAATGACCACAAAGAAGGGAAAGATTCTTTGACTTGAAGGTTCAGTTAAACATTCGTTTCCTCAAGGCAAATCACAATGAAAGCGATTTGGGATATAATGAAGACCTCACCAAACAGTGATTAGAATGGCCTTAATTACACAGATGTCCGTCCGTGCCTTAGCATCGAGAGAGTTTTGTGTCTGTTACTTTTAGCTTGTCACTTTGAAAGTCAGTTCCCCTGTCTAAGCCTCAAAAGTCTGCCGAGGATAAAACAAGCATGATACTGTCTGTCTCATGGGGCTTTGGTGGGGATTAAAGAGGTAGCAGGTATTCCACAAATGGCACCTTTTATTACCGCCCACAAATGAGCAGCGCTGTAAAATGGGTGGTGTGGGGAGGGCAAGCTGACCTGGCTAGGCAGACAACACCAGACTCTGGGGACCCTGGGAGAGAACAACGCATCTCAGACCCAGCTGGAAACAGCAGATAAGCATCAGCTAGCTCTCTGAGGTTCTGTGAAACTGCCTCGCTTCTCATCACATTGAAGTATTTAGCGTACCTGGTGGCCAAAACCTACAGGTTCTTCATTTTTATTCTGTGAAACTCGAATTTCTTTCTAGAGAAGCAGAACACCTGTAGTGGAAAAATTACTATTTCCTTCGCGCTGTAGAGCCCTGGCCTTTAAGTTCCACAAGAAAGACTGTGTTTGAATGATTTTCATCAAAGTGGACCATCTGGGCCATGCCCTTCTATGGTTACCCATCAAATGACAGTGGCTTTCTTTTATATTCTAACAATCTTTCTTTTATATTCTAACAATCTGATGCCGGTGCCATCAGATTGTTAACTTAAATGCCAAGGAAGTGGTTTTATTTTATAAAGTGTCCCGTAAAGATACTTTTTGAGGCTCTTGCTGTTCGTTTTATGAATGTTGCTAAATGGTTTGCAGTGAATCTCGACAGAAAAATCATCATTGTCTTAACCATTCTTTTTCATTATAGAACTTCAATCTCCCAATGCACTTTTAATTACATATTGACTGAAGAATTAAGGATAAAATTTTAAAGCCAAGCTAACAGAAGCTCATTGTGCTGTTGACATTGACTAGTGCAAGTTAGCCTATAAAATAATCAAATTCATTTAGAGTAAATTGGAGTATTAACTAAACATTTTTATCTATTATATTGAATATAAATTGTTGAATACAATTTAAAGTATTTGATTTTTCTATTTCCTAGTAGCTCTATCAATATACAGAACAGATCCCAATTAAGATAAATCTATTTGACTATATTTAATATTTTAATATTGAGACTAATCTCTGTAACGAAGTAAAAACTGCAAATCTTCTCAGTTAAGCTGTCTTGGAGTACAAATAATTTTAGCTGCTATTCCTGAGGTGTAGAACACTTTATTATAAATTATAGAATGTTTTAATCAATCAAATAGAAATATAACCAGGGTGTTTAAGAAATAATGAACTTTTCTAATTATGTTCAACATACATAATATATAAAGCAAATAACAACATTAAGCGTTTTATCTTCAACTCTTATTTTAGTTTCCTAAAACGAGTAATGTAATTATAAACTGAACAAGATGTTTAATGCTAATAGTCCATTTCCTTGTGTAATTCCCTGATTACAGTGTAGATGGGGGAATCTGGGACTAGCTGGGCCATGTAGTGGTTTGACTTTCAGCTTTTCGCGAGTTCTCCCCACTGACTTGCAGGGTGGCTGTATCCATGTGCATTCCAGCCTACAGCGAACGTGTGTTCCCCTCCCCCACATTCTCGCTAGCATCCGTTGTCAGTGGTTTTCCTGATCTCAACCATTCTGACTGGAATAAGAGGGAATCTCAAAGTAACCTAAGTTTTCATCTCCCTAGTTGCTAAGGATGCTGACTACTTTTATAATTTTGGCTGTGAACCTAGCCTTTAACGGCTGAGCCATCCCTCCAGGCCAGCATACTGACCACATTAAAGATGTATTTTGGCAATTTTCATTTTGTACTGTGAGAGCTCTCTGTGGAAGCCTTGTAAGCTGGTTTTCCTCAACTTGATACAAACCTAGATCTATATGAAAAGAGGGAGTATCAGCCAATTGAAGAATTGCGTCTGTCAACCTGGCCTATAGGAGACTCTGTGGGATCATTTTCTTTGTTAATGATTGATGTGGGAAGGCTCCGCCCACTGTGGGTGGTCTATAAAAAAAACAAGCTGAGCCAGCCCTAGGGAGCAGGCAAATGGGCTCCACTTCTCCATGGTCTCTGCTTCAGTCCCTGCCTTGAGTTCCTGCCCTGACTTTCCTTAGTGATGGACTGGAAGCCATGAGCTGAAATAAAGCCTTTCCTCTCCAGTGTGCTTTGGTCATGGTGTTTACCACAGCAATGGGAAGCAAACTGGGGCCAATTGGTAGCCTGTTTTTCAGCTGGATCATTTTTTTCTCAACTCCCTGGGCCTTTTTTAGTAGTTCTCTATATCCTGGATAACAACACTCTATCAAATGGGTAGCTTGCACATCTAAGTGACACTAAGTGCACTTAGCAGGCTGTGTTTATGTGCATAGTGTGTGCGCATGTCTAACAGTAGCTAGAGAAGAACAGATCATGAATTTGAGAGAGAGTAACTTGAGGAAAATTAGAGGGAGAGAGTGGATAGAAATAATATAAATGCAATAGTCATGTATGAAAATCCCAAAAACAACATAAAAAAAGGAAAAATAGGTTTTAGCAAAATAAAAATGAAATATTCAAGTATTGAAAGCAAAGCTTCTGATAAAGTTCTTCTCCGTACTATCTTTTGTACTAAACTCTATGGTAGAGAACTATCCCTGTGCAAACATTTATCTGTGTCTTTCAAAGCTGTCAATCACAGTGTTGTCACACAGTTGGTACCACGATTCTAGCAGCTGGACAGAGGGATGTCCCCTATGGAAAGCAGTCAGGACTCTGCCGAAGGAAATGTTCATCAGTACTCAGGGTGCAGCCGGCGGAGGTTCAAAAGAGAAAGTGTTGATTATGGTACAGCCCGTAAGTGAACAGGAAAAGTCAGTCATGAACTTTGGGAACAACAACCTCTGGAATTTCCTTTCGGAGCCTCAGATGGAGCAGAGAATCCTTGAGCCCCACCACAGCAGCAGTGACCAACTAAGAGGGACAAGATGCCTGAAGTCCCCAGTTGATTGTCATGACACCAGTTTGCCTTCCCCTCTATGCCCACTTTCCTCATCTCCCCAAGGCACCCCAAGAAGAATAGAGTGCATTGTATAAGTGCCACAGAAATATGCAATAGATTTTAGACATCTTGCATTTCCAATGGCATGTCATATGAATTGAGAGCAATAGCACACTCATTTGGAAGTCTAGAATTTGGTCTTCTGATCCATACCCTGTTTAATATTGCCTTAAATTCGAGAGTTGAAATCAAAAATGTAAAGCCAGGTGTAGTTACACACTGTATTACAGGTATATTGAGAATCTTAGCACTTAGGAGGTGAAGGAAGGAAGATAGGGTTCCAAGGCAACTGTCAATCATCTCTACAAACAAGGCACTGTAGAAAAAAATATAGAGCCAAGCATTTCCTAGAAACCGGGTTTCTATGAACTCTTTCCTTTCTTTCAAAAACTGGATGGTGGCTTCTAGCTACGTCTTATTCCCTAGCTGGAAGCTGATCTGCTCTTCCCATCTCCAGGTTTTGAAAAAGCGCCTTTATTTTAGAGCCAAGTACTTATTTGTACATCCTCATTGCTTCTCCATTCTAGAACAGTTTTCTCTAAAACATAATGCCATGTTTATCATCCTTAAAATAATCTTACCTCATAATTAAAATACACACTTGCTCTTTCCATGTGATATTTCTGGGGTTATTTTTGTTTCTTAATTACTTTTGTTGTGGCCACATGTATAATAATATAAGTTGCCTACATATGTTTTTTTAAAGGTACATATGAAATCAAAAGGAAAATCACCCACCCTCTTACAGCACTTAATTTTAATTATCAATACTTTGGTGTTTCCCTAAAGGTTGCATGTATTTAATATTTTATTAATTTTTACATGTATATTTCATATACTAACTATAAATATTGAAAAATGAAGTAGTAATAATCCTGCTGTTAAAAAAACCAGTAGTCAACTTCAGGGGTAGGGGAGAGCAGGTGAGTGGTTAGCAAGATGTGGGTAATTCATTATAAAAGTTCAAAAGCCATAGAAGGTCTGAGGAGCTAGCAATGTTGTTTTGGTTTGGTGTTCTACTTGGCTTTTTTAAAGAACCTGACCCACTGATCATGTATTCTGAACTAGGCCACATTTCTATGCCCTGCATGGTAACAGGCCCAGGGAAGACACTCAAGAAATGGTTGGTTGGATATTCAAAGGACTGAACCAAAATTTCCACTTTCAACTAAATAACCATGGAAGTCACCCATGTTTGGGCACTGAAAGATGTTTGAAATGACTAGTCTGTTTGCATTCGCTGCGACTTGAATACTCTGCCTCCTCTCCCCACCTTCTTAGTTCTGGTAGCTGGCAGATCCAGGCATGCCCACATCTAAGCAAAAATACAGAGCTGGGGGAAAGGGAACCCCAAAGGCCTCTTCTTTCTTTTCTCAGGTCCTAGGGCAGCCCACACACTGGAGCTGTCTGTCACCATCTCTGAGGGCTCCAAATCCATCTGCCAGCTTCCTTGGGCTTTTTCCATCCAGGCTCCCCTTAATTAAACCTGCATGCTGTCTCCAGGGCTCTCTAAGACTTGATTGCCCTATCAGATTTTCGGTCTCTTGAAATCCATCCTATGGGGCAAATTGGAAAAGCAAATAACCAAATTTATTAAACCAGTGCTCATATTCTACACACAGTCTAAGTCAATCAATTCTCGCCCCTGGGCCTGGTAGTGGCAGTGATTCACTGTCCAAGCAAAGTGCGTGTTTGTAGCAACCATCTTCCTTCTCAAGCCACAGTGCTTTGTGTTCCACCAAAGAACTGGCTGCCCAAAGTATGACCTCAGAAAGTTCTAGACGTCCAGTCCTTCCTTGTCTCCCTCCATCCTCTTTATCTCTGCCGCTTCTGACTCTATTACTTCCTTCCTGCACTTTTGTGATAACCGATTCAGACCTTAAACCCATCAAGCCTGACCAACTTAGAAGATTTCCATCGGAGCTCCGTAGGTTTGGTTTGCTGAGTCATGGTGGACAGGTCTAGGAAAAGAGAAAAGGAGAAAACTGTTTGAATTTACAGACCCATACCCTGCTTGCTCCGAGTAAACAAACCTCTGAGAGTTTACCAGATCATTCTCTTACATTTCAGTTATTGGAAATCTCTGAACATTTTAGGCAGTTGTATCAGAGCATACATGTTCAATATTATTTTTATTCAGTTATTTTGTCCTATCTACGAGCACAGTTTTTTAATTCTTATCCATTAAATTCTCTTCAACTGCCTTCTTTCCTAGGGTTTTACCTGCCAGTCTTAGGAACCTGTCTGCAAAGTGCTTTCACGCAAATCACAGTCTTACAAACAGTGATCTCTTTGCGCTCCCAATTGCTTACCCTCTAAGATAATAATGTTTTAGATTTGTATGAAAACACAGAGATATAAGTGATAGGGAAGCTATTGCAATAATTCTTCAGCCTATTGCTTTTCATTCTCACTGGGCTTACACACAGAACTGCCATGATATTCTTCACTTCCAAATCTCCTCAGCATCGGGTGAGAATTTGCCACCTGCAGGTGTCAACTTCTGTGTCCTCAACAATGTGAGAGTGGGCAAGTCAGCTCTCTAGATCCTGAATTCAGGTTGTATATTAGGAGCACGGTCCACGAGTACTTCCGCGTGGATTCAGGTCTGCTTATGACGGAGGGAAGACAAGGATGAAGACTTCGTCTGGGTGCCTGGTAGGACAAATAGGAAGGGATTGTGGGGAAAGAAAAACTGGAGCGGAGAGGAGGGCTTGTCATTGAAGACACGCTCCAGGGCTAAGTATGTAAAGATAGGTCTGAGAACAAGTAAGGAAAATGTAAAAGTTAAGATACGTAGGCTATGGGTACTAAGAATGAAATCCAGGAAGGTTGGCACCAAGAAAGCAATGTGATGGTCAGAGTGGTAGAAACTGTGAAGTACCCAGATTAGAGTCTGATGCAAGAAGTCTGCTGAGGTCAGCAAAGCGCTGGAAGGAAGAGGCCGCAGGGGGATTTCATGAGACTAGTGGAATACCTATTTAACCATTCCTCCTCCTCCTCCTCCTCCTCCTCCTCCTCCTCCTCTTCCTCCTCCTCCTCCTCATCTTCCCCCTCCTCCTCTTCCCCTCCTGGTATCCCAGGAAATTAGGACTTATAATGTCTTCCACTTTTCTTACCCTACCCAAACAACCTGCTATGGAAGTAAAAAGAATCCCATACAGGTTCTTTTTATTCAGAAAATTGAGCTTCTCTTTCCAACCCGCCTTTTGATTCTGAATATAGTGCCTGTGATTTTTCCAGGCTCAAAACAATAATAATTACGTGTGTATTTATATGAAATAGACCAAGCAGGAAATATGCTTAACATTTCTGATCAAACCCTGATGCCACTTATGTGAACTCGTAATAGAGGTGATCCTTGGTATCTGATCTCGGGCTCCAGAGCTTGCACGATAGTTGGAGGCTGTGACATCATCGTTAGTCAGGTCTCGAGCTGAGACGTGCCTTCAGTGCAAGTCTGAATCTGGTCCTGATCCAGAGTCCAGCCACTTCGGGTCAGGTGGCTGCCGTAGAAGGTCTGTGATCACTGGCAGAGATTTAAAACCTTCTCATACACCTATACGGTATGTTAGTCTGCTCCAGTCTCATAGAAACATAAACAAATATTCAGTTTATATAAGAAAGACTGACTTAGGGGTGTCTCCCAGCAACAGCATATTAATACTTTTCTAATGTTTTAGGGTATCCTCAGGCCATCTGGAAAGGGGGAAAGGATGACGATGGTGGATCCCCAGTACCATTCTTGGATCTTTGTCAACGAGAGGACATTCATAACCAGGTAATCACACACCTATATGGTCTGTTAGTCTGCTCCAGTCACTGGTTGGAATATGCCATTCAGACTTCTCTAAGCATGACCTGTGGTCCACAAGATCAGTGCTGTGAATGACCAGGTAAGATACTGGATAAGAAAGTAAAGTATCTTCCTAGAGCCTGCTAAACCATACCCTGCCGTGGGTATGTCATATTTCATTGCAGTTGTCTGATTTCATTGAAAATTCTGCTTTAGTTTTAACAATTCAAATGTGTGTGAAGACTGAGTTAAGAAGATCAAGCTCATGGATGATATTAATACACGCATAGTTTGCTCTGAGGCCAGTAATCCTGTATTCAGTCCTTAGCTCTCTTTCTGCCTTTCCGCTTCTGAAACATTCCACTTTGCTTTTGACATGAGATTACATAAAATACGGCCAATATCCCTACCTAATATCCTACACACAGTAAGTAGCATCCTCTAATGTGCTGTGAACAATGGAAGTTTAAAAACCACAGAGGTGAGAGCTGCCCCTGTCCGGACCAGGGCAGATCCTGGGAGAGAGAAAGTGGTAGTTCAGACTCTAGTGATACCAAAACATGTCCCAAGCCATGCAGGGGCTGAGATGAGCAGTGGCGGTCACGTGAGAAATGCCAATATTGTAGGACAGAGTAGCAAGGCAAGGGGGCACAGGTGCAGTCAAAAGCCACCACTATAACGCTGAATAGAAGAGAGGGCAGAAAACATGAACAGCCAACTTAAAGGAAGCCATCTCCTTTTCTGTTGCTCTTACCGTTGCCGACTACTCAGTGTGGACGGACTAGAATGAGCACTGGGCACTCAGCAAAGAACCAAACAAAACCCTTACTTTCAAGGGACTGGGGGTACAGTCAATATGAACATAAATACTGAAATAAATGAGCCATGCAAATAAAGAGGAAAACAAGCCAAACATCTGGAGGTGGATAGGCATGGAGTTGCTAGCTCAAGGAAGTATTCAAGGAAGCCCGTAGTGAAAATGTAGGATTGGAAGAAAAAGCTTCAGCTAAGTGGCTGTGAGCATCCCTACCTCTGAAACAGCGGCACACTGACAGTATTGGAACGGCCAGTGGAGAGGAACTGAAGCAGAAAGCTAACAAAGCTGATATCAGAGCCCCACATGGCCCAGAATGCATGGTGTTTCAGAGGCCATTGTGAGACTTGGCCTTTCCCACCAAATGAGGTGAGAAGCCATGGGAAGACAGTGTATACAGCAGGGACAGCATTGGTCTGGCTGTTGTTTGAGGAACACATTGGAGAAGGGCGTATGTAGAGGCAGAGAAGCGATCATTCAAAGTGGAGGTGATGGCATCCTGAACCATGGCGGCAAGAGAGGCAGAGCAAGGACTGGGGTAGACTGCCCAGCTGAGATGCCTGATGAGATTAGCAAAGCTCTCAACGGTAAGGGTGCGCCAAGGACTTTATGCTGCTAGCTTGATACATATTTCACATATTTATGTTGCTCCTACAGAATTAGAAAAGCTGAGATTTAAAATATGTATATTGAAAGGATAAAAGTATCCAGATCAAACATTCAGGGAAAGTACAGTTTAATTGTAGCATATTTATTACTTTCAACAGATTCCGTTGTACATAACTGAGACCACACTGTATCTTGTTTTACAAACCCATCATTAGGTTATAAATATTTCCTCATACAACTAAAGGAAATCTGCACCGAAATGCAGGAAGTGTTAGAAATTATGAAAAAGCAGTATCTAGCTAATTGAAAATTTGATTTCAGCACATTTCATGAGAATTAACATATAAGCAAGAGGTCCTGAGGTCATGTCCACAGCCAGCACACTCTTAGGACTGGGTGACAGTTTGTTCTCCACACTTTCTGGCTCACGGACATTGGCGTTAGTTTCTCTCAAGCTCCAGTGACCACGGTTCCAGTTGCTGCTTCATTGCCTGGAGTCCCCACTGTGCTGGGCGCCCATGCAAATGTTCCAGATTAGAGACGGTTCCATTTGGATGCTTTCAAAGCACCTTCATGTTACCTTGTAAATCATGAAAGGGGTAAACACCAACCCTGTATCTGAAGCAAACAAACAAAACGTTCGATCCAGTTTCAAATGCAGATCAAATTTCATAACCCGGTAGGCTTTGTGCTTCTCAGAACCTGGTATCAACCCTCAGAGACCTAAAGGTGTGCTTGTGCATGCCTGCCCTTAGTAAAACAAGGGTATGACGTCATGCATTTATGCAGGAAGTACATTATTCCTTAGAGCTGCTTTTTCCAGGCATGTTGGCCGGGACCCTTCGCAGAGACAAAAGAACCAGCCACCTACATTTATTTCTAAGTACAGATTATACACAAAGGGACAATGTTCCTGAGACTGCCTCCTACCTGACTCAGAGAGCCAGAGGGTATTGTGACAGACAGTAAGAGTCCAGAGTCTCCTGATGGAAGGAGTGAACACTGAGCCCCAGCCAGCCAGGTCTACAAAGAGATGCATTGCTCTCAGGAAAGCCCCTTCTTGGTTTAATCAGGATACAGAAGGCCTCTCTAAAGGTTTCCATAGACTCAAGAGTTTAAAATGAACCAGAGACAAAGGTTGTGAAGCATCTGCTTGAATCATTTTCTTTAAAACGTGGACATTTTCCTGTGTAGGGATTGTTTTAAAATTTTCACAGAATTACTGTCTGTGAAATTATGATTATGATCTGGTAAAGATAAAAGATTGTTACTAAAAAAACCTGAATGATCATTTGGACTGTATCACAGATAGCACAGCAATGTTCCCAGATAGGTAGGAAGAGGGTACTTTTTAAAAGTTCTTAGTCACCAATATTTCCCCCAAAGCATATGCTGTCAGTCCTCAGTGAGTGTCTCGGTGACAGTCCCCTGCTGTCAGTCCTCAGTGAGTGTCTCGGTGACAGTCCCCTGCTGCTACCAGCACAGCTTATCTGCCGGGTCACCCATTCTGTCCCTTCAGCCAGGTCACCCATTCTGTCCCTTCAGCAGGTTCACAAAACAGGATATTTCCACCATACACAGAGACTTTTCCACTCTGAAGTCAAATTTCAAACACTCTGCCTCTCCGCTTATTGCCTGCCTAGGATTCCTTGAGTTTCTGATGTCCTTACCAATTGTGCTGTGTGACAAGACATACTGTCATCTGTGCATCACCCCCCCAGCCCCCAGAGTCGACTGGGATCCAATTTCCATATTTTATTCCCTAAACAAATGATGTGTGAGGGTGTGCCTTGAGCCAGAAGCTTTTGCTAGAAGAACTAGGGTTTTTTTTGTTGTTGTTTTTTTGTTTTTGTTTTTCTTTTTTGTTTGTTTTTTTTTTTTTTAGCAGGACCCTTCTAGAAGGAGCTTGCTATCTGATGCTGCAGCTCTCAACTTGCCCAGAAAATTGCCCAGGGGCCAGGCCCTTGCTGGGAGTTCCTGGGTCTTCACTGGGGATGGGGTAGGTGTTGGAGGAGAGAGCCGCTTGTCGCTTCCCGGCCACCCGGCTAGCTTAGACCTTTATTCATTAATGGTAATCACAGCATACAGAGGGAAATAAATCCCACATCAGGTAGGTATCTTCATGTCCAAGTTCCCAGCTGGTTCAGCCACTGTGCTCTCTAGGAAGAGCAGGGTCTAAGGAGGCAAAACAAACTGAGAGAACCTCCCCTGACTGAGACCCAGGACAGACTTTATACTGAGATCTGACTAGGGGGAGAGCTAAAGACGGTTTAGAGAATCAGGGCCAAGAAGTATCTGGTGCAGGAAGCCTCTGAATCCAGTGGCCAGTGAGTTAGAGCAAGCAAATGGTTCCACCTGCTGCGGTACAGGACACATGAAAGATATTTATAGTGCACGGATGTCCTGTCTGTGCACAGCATACAATCCTGATGCCTGCAGAGGCCAGGAGAAGACATCAGATTCTCTGGAAATGGAGTTGTGAGTCGTGATTGAGTGCTGGTAATCAAACCTGAGTCCTCTGGAAGAACAGTCAGTGCTCTTAAGCTCTGAGCCACCTCTCCAGACCTTAAAAGACTCTTTTAAAAGGACACTAAGAGCTGGGCAGTGGTATTGCATGCCTTTAATCCCACCACTCTGGAGGCAAAGGCAGGCAGATCTCTATGAGTTCAAGGCCAGCCTGGTCTACAAGAGCTAGTTCCAGGACACTCTCCAAAGCTACAGAGAAACCCTGTCTTGAAAAAACCAAAAAACAAACAAACAAACAAAAGGGGACCACACAGGACTGTGTGCCATATAAGGATTGGAAGGTTTTCTCAAAGAGCTGTAGATAGACATTTAGAGATGCTAAGGGAAGCAGATGATCTGGTTAGATATGTTCTATGCTCAGTGGACATCATGTGAGTGACAGGTAGATAGCCACTTAAAGACGTCAAGTGAAACAAGTGATATGGTTAGGCATGTTCTGTGCTCAGTGGGCATCATGTGAGTGATAGGTAGATGTTACTCAGAATAGCAGGACAGTTGGTTAGTGTATTTATTTGAAAACAAGCAGACTCAGCAGTCAGAGTCCTGAGAGCAAAGCCGGTCACAGTGGCCGTAACTCTCAGTGTCCGTGGCCGTAAGGCTATACGGGGAGAAAGCTCCCACTGGAGCTCCTGCCTGCTTACGTCAGCGGCCCCATCACATCAGAGGCCTGAGAGTTACCTTCTAGCAGGGCTCTCACAGGCCTAATGAGGCTGGAGGGCTTCCGGGTGGCAAGTGGAAGACTTCATTAAGTAGAATAATTGGATCGCTTCCCCCACCAAAAGGAGCAGGGCATCCGAGTGTAAAGTCACCTTTGGTCTGCATTCCTAGTAGGCACAAAGTTCCTCACCTTCCGCACACAAAGGACATTGTTTCACTGCATGCTTGTGCCTCTCCAAACAGTGTCCAGTGATGTGTGGCACAGCCGTGTTTACTTTTCAAGTGACTTTTTTTTTTTCCAAACTTTTCCATTAAGTCCTGTTTTAGAAAAAGTTGAAAAGCTGATATATAAGCGTGCACCAGGGTGAGAGGGAAGCAT